CTGGGTGTGTCCATGCTGGTCCAGTGTAAATGTGTGTGTTGCGTAGGCACCTGTCTTGTTCATGTGAAGACTGCTAGTATCTGGCATGTCATCTTTGTAGAATAAATACAGCTCACAGACTCAAAGGATCAGAAAAGACTGGCATTGATTTTGGTGCTGTAGTTCTTTCTAGTCCTCATCTATTTCACATACCTCTTGTGACTATAAAGTACTGGGAGTTCTGTCTAGTCAGCATTTCAGTCCAAAGGTGAACATTGAGCAAGAAGCCCAGGTGACAGCAGAGTCAGGAAATAGATTATCTGAAATATTGGACATTTTATGGTCAGTTGACAGTTTGCAGGAGGTTTGCTGGAGTGAATTGGGGCTTTTCCGAGTCAAAAGAGATGAATCATAAATACCTCAAACTGTGCCACTGTAAATGCTACCCTCTGCACTTTTCCTCCTGGAAGGGGCAGGGAGGGAAAGCCAAAGCCGTCAGGCACCATACACCTGTGCTAGGGTCAGCACCTCTGCTGGCAGACATGCAGAGGAACGCTGAGACTGGGGTTCTGATTCTACACTCAGCTCTTTATCCTGCCGACAAGGACAACCTGTCTCCTTGTTAAGACCATTGGGACAGCATCCTGTGACCACAGCTTGGGGCCTCTTGGGCATGTGCCGGCCTTTTAGTGCCTACCACTTCACTGATGCTTAGATATGCTGTGACCACAGGGACAGTAATTACATCCTGCCAGCTGCATATGTGGCAGTAAGATTCCTGAAGAAACACAAATTGTGTACATTTCCAGTTAATAATGGCAAGTGGGGTTTTGTTTTTGATCCAAATATTTGGTGCTATTGGGTGCTCACAGTGATTTTTGCAGAACTGACATGTTCTTTGTATTTATAAGGCCATGTAGCACTGTTGTGGAGGAAACAAGGTGAGACAGGCCAGATGCCTACCTCCTAGTTTAGTGGCAGGCAGGGGAAATAGGATGGTCTGCTGGTAGGCATCTTGCTACCAACAGCATATGGTGAAGGCCTAAGGAGACCTGCTAATGAGACAAAACAGGAAGAAATCAGTTCTTGCCAGTGTGAGTTTGAAAGGCTTGTGGAAGGAGGTAATGGTTGAGCTGCATTTTTTAAGCACAGGTGAGTTTACAGGAGGTCCAGAGGGAAGGAGATTGAGGAATTTCAGGAATAGAACGTAAAGCATGGAGAGGATCATTGATAACAGGGTACAAGAAGTGTTTAGGGAAGAGAGAAGGTGCAGCAACTGACCAAGACCAGGTGATGGTGATGTGAGGGCAGCAACTCAGAACCCTGAGCCCCCAATAGACAGTTCACCAGAGAGCTTGGTTAACACATGGGCTTTAAGCTCGGGAGGTGCCTGCAGCCCCTTACTGGGTGCACCTTGTCTCTGGCTGCTTCCTTGAAGGAGTTCCAAGCCTGTTTCACCTCTGTTTGAAAATCTTGCCTGTGGTCAGTGGCATCCAGGAGTAATTTGAGACAGTTGATGTCTGTTGCACTAATTATGCTTCAGTCTCAGAGTGCCTTGGTGCTCTCAATCCCGCCTGCTCAGCAGATTTTATGTAGTATTTGAATTATTGATGGAGGTGATGTGGGAGTGGGGGCTTGGCTGCTTGTTCTGTTTTGAGCAGGTCTTGGGTAAGTGGCGTTACGGGAAGAGAAGCAGCTGCTTGCGCAGTGATGGACAAAGCGGGCCTTCCAGGGGAGCCCTGCCCAGATGTGAGCCTGTGCCAGTATGCTCAGAAAATCACAGCCTGCTTTGGAGGGATGGGTAAGACCCCTTAAACCTTGGGCTTTGCCTTTGAGATGTTGATGTTGATGAAGTGTATGAGCAAACTGAAATTTGGGACTTGCTGGTGTCCGAGAGCAGATGTAGCTTCTTGAGGCAGACGTGTTCATAGGAGCCAAGTGGTCTGTCATTGTCTGGAGGCTGGGTGTACCCTTCCTTGCAGCTTTATCACCTGCAAATTTTTTCTTTCTCTGCCTTATGTGTTCTGCTTAGAAGAACCCCTGATGATTATTTGAGGAAGGCTTGTTGGTTCCTTGTAATTAAAATGAAAAATATACAAAAAGGGAAAAGCGGGTGACCCTTTTATTACCAGTGAAGCCATAGGTTTATCTCAGATAATTTCCTTAGAATGCTGGTGACTCGTTTTTTCTTGGCAAAAGGCAGGTAGATATTTAACAGATGATTTTTAAATGAGACAGGGTGCTTGTCTGAAGAAAATAGGCCTAAATCATTACACAGAATAAAATTAAAGCTGGAGATATTTTCAGAGAATTATTGCATGAGTTGGGACTAGGCGGAGGAAAGCAGTGTTAAGGCATCCATCCTCTGCCCCATACATTATGTAGCCCCCGAATGCCTGGTCTAGGGCTTGGAGTCCTTCTCATCGGCGTGTATTCAGCATCTACAGTGCGCAAAGGTAGAATACTCAAGGACTCTCTGTGCCCCCAGTAAGTTTACCTGCTGATGGTTTCTTTTCATACTGCATCATAGAAGAAGAGCTTGTTTGCATGTGATGGAATTATTTCCAGCAGGATTAAGACTCTCCTTTCTGCAAAGATATCTAAGTCAGTAGAATCTCAGACACAGGCTAAAGTTTTCTCGCTGTCATTAGCTTTGTAATGTAGTACATGGTGATGTCTTGTCATATAGCCATGCAAACTCTCACATAAACCCTGCCTTCCTTTGAAATTGCTGTGGCTGTCAGTTCACATGGACTGTGGCAGGAGGCCGATGCTGGTGAAGCAGTGAAAGAACTGGGTTCTCCTGTGCTTCTGGAAGGTGCGTCCTGCAAACTGCTTTCCTGGGGACTGAGTTTGCTGTTACACGGACACACTGAAAGCAGGCTTTTAGGACTGGAGGCATGCTCTCTGCTGGGGCATTTACCAAGTATTTGTGTGAAGGAGGCTAAAGTTAAAGTTCTACTCTGCAGGTGTTTGGCACAGCAGTTAAGACAACAGTTAAGATATCGGCATCCTGTATCAGTGTGCCTGGATTCACTGCCCAGCTCTTTATTGCAGCCTCCTATTAATGTGCCCCCATAAAGCAGCAGATGGAGGCCTAAGCACTTGGGTCCCTGCCACCTACATGAGACACCTGGATTGAGTTCCCACTCTTGGCTTTGCTCTGGCGCAGTCAGGCATTTAAGGAGCGAGCCAAAGAATGGGAACCCTCTGATTGTCTCTCAGTTTCTCAAATACAGGAAAAAATATATTTTGAAAAATAGGCAATGACTGTGGATATCTACACAGTGGCTCTAGGTTCACAGATGCCCTGGTCACCTTTGGTTCCTACCCTCCTGAGCAGCTAGCGCCTGAACATGTTTGTACTGTCTAAGAAAGAACATGGCCTCCTCATACTTCTATGTAGTGAGGTTGTCGTTACAGATAAGTGGACATCTGTTGTTCTCACCATCCACCTTTATGAGTCATACTTAATTTACTTTGTTTCTGTGTAATCCCATTACTTGAAGAATTTGATTTTTTTTTTCCTCTTAAGGACTGTCGGAAAATCATTGTTGCTTGAACTAGATATTTGGCTCTGCAATCATGTCTATAGATCCGGGGGTATATCCTGAGTGTGTCCTCTGAGACACCAGGTCAGCGTGGAGGTGGAGAAAACATTCTCTGGAGTGGGCCTTAGTGGGTAGCGCTCAGCACAGGTTGAGAGCAAGAAGGCAGAATAGCTTTGTTGTAGAATAACTCCAATTCTTCTTGTTCAGAAAGATACTGGATTTGAAGAAAATGGTCATTCTTTCTGCTTAAGTAGCTGTTAATTTTCTCAACCTGCAAAGAGTTGAGCTTTAGGAAGTGAATCAAAGCGAGAAAGAGTAGATGGTGAAGGCCAGAGGTTGTCATGCTACCGTGCTTACTAGAAAAGCACTCCAGAATAACCTGGAAAGCCAAGGGATCTACCTTTTAAACCAATTGGTCCAGGAACTGTAGTTTGGAAAACATGAACAGAATATCTCCCATCATAGGAGAATGCCTCAGGGGTTCATGGAAAAAAAAATTAAAAGTCCATTAGGGTCCAGAAAGGTTTTGAAATTTATGCAGTTTTTTTTCTTTTGAAGAATTACTTATTTTTTTAGTGGAAAGGCAGTTCAGATTTATGGAGAGAAGAAGAAAAATGGAGATCTTCTATCCACTGATTCTCTTCCGAAATAACTGCAATGGCTGGAGCTGAGCAGATCTGAAGTCAGGAACCAGGAGCTTCTTCCAGGTCTCCTACACAGGTGCAGGGTCCCAAGACTTTGAACAATCCTCTACTACCTTCCCAGGCCACGAGCAGGGAGCTATATGGGAAGAGGAGCAGCTGGGACATGAACTGGTCTGCATATGGAACCTAGATGCTTGCAAGGTGAGAATTTAGCCTTTGAATCATCATGCTAGACCTAAAATCCATGCAGGTTTTTTTTTTCATAATTCACATCTTTTTCACAAACTTAATTGAAGACCCTCTAGAGGATGAAAATGAAATGATTGTTTGCTGTGGCCTGGAGCTTGAATGCATGGGTAGCCACTGAGTAACTTTAATTGAGGCCCCTGTCTGTGAAATCTGAAAAACAGAAGAGCTGAGAGTTAAAACTGTTCCGAACACATTCTGATATTTGTTTTTAGCTCATACACAAATGTGAACATATAACTCAGCTCACTGTTGGGATTCTATGCAGACAATAGCAATCCTTTTAGATGTTGCAGTCATGTTTCTTCTCTTGCATTACATCCAGGATTAATCTGATTGTCAAATATTCCTTCAGTATGAGACCAACATCATTCCAACTCCTGCAGTAGCTGTTTTTATACCTGATCATCTGACCAAGAATGTGGAGCCCTGAGGTCAGGAGGGTAATCTCTTAAGCCTGTCTTCCTTAATCTTCTTTGCTGGGCAGTGTGAGAAAGAGACAATAAGGAGGCTGCAGAAGAGAGAAGTGGGGAAGCAGGGTCACTTGGGCGCCTGGGGTCCGTTTCTCATTTCGTTGCGATTCCTGTCAACATGCCTTCCTTCCTTGGTTTAAAGTGTCTGGGGAAATTGTGCAATTCAGAGAAAAGCAAAGTCACGACGTCTGAAAGATCCAGTGCTAGGGCCTCGTGCGGGAGGACACTGATTGTTCAGGACCTGAGTGTTCCTAAAACGCCCTGCCCTGCTCATAGGCGCACCACCATCACCCATTTGTTGTACGTGTACCCCAAGGACTATGGTCCGAGTGAGCTCGTGTTTAGCAGCTGTGATCCTCCTGGTAAGTAAAACAGCCCACTCTGGACATGGTTTTGTGATTAGCATAAGTATTAAAATAATACCTTGATCATTCTTCTGTAATGTGTTCTCCAAAGGAAACTCTAGCCTTAATTTATAATTAATGCAGGTGAGGGTGGGGAAGAAATGGAGAATGTAATATAAGTATAGCTGAGAAGCTCAATTAGGAGGGCATTTTCCCTCCATGATTTTATTATCTCAGTAATAAATGTATCCCTTTCCAAACTTGGCATGAATAATTGTCAGTGATAGGAAGTGTAATAGATGAAGCAAGATGACTACTAATAGATGCTTCTCTATTCTATGAAAAATGATGAACCAAAAAGAAGTATGCAAGGCAGCAGGTTGGCAGGCACTTATCAAGGGTGACTTGGATCAAGTTGAGGTCCAGATTGTGTGGCTGTCTAGGAAGGGCTTGTCTTGTGAAATATTTTATGAGAAGGAAAAGACAATGTTTCTCATGTGGAGAGAACTTGTTAAGGTTTTATTTCCAGCTTAAAATGTGGACTGTATATGCCCAGGGAAAAGGAAGAGAAATCCTGGTTAGAGGGTGGAGGCACTGCACTGGGGCGCTTTCAGATAGTGAAGTTGTAATGGTGCTTTTCTTAGCAAAGATAGAACCTATGTGACTGCACAGATCTTCTCAATATTAGCAGTTAGTGCAAAAGGCAGAAAATGAGCACGCAGAATGTCTATATATGACAGAGATGAGCCACAAAGTATAATATACACCTGATGCTTCTGGGGCAGCCAGAGAGGAGGGCAGAGTGGGATTGGGGTCAAGTGAGGCAAGGGAGTTAATCTGCACTGAGGCATTTCATTCTGTTGCAATCAATTTCTAAATATTCTATTAAAATATTTATGTACTGTATGATTTGTCCATCATTTTTCGGATATGCTCTGATAATTGCAACTATCGTTACAGTGAATTTTTAAATATGTTCATTACCTCCAAAGGAAACAGTACCCTTTAGCTGTTACCTCCCCATCCCAATTTCTCCATCCACTTCCCTGAGTCTCCTGCTCTCTGCGCCTGTGGACATCCCTGCCAAGGACTCTCCGTGTGAAGAAAGTCATGTAATGCATGGCCTCTGTGCTTGACTTCTTTCACCTCATATAGTACTTTTTAGGGTTCATTTATGTGGTTGAATAATATCTCATAGTATGGATACGTCACATTTGGTTTATCCATTCATCAGTCAATGGGCATTTGAATGCTCCAGTTTTCCAGATAACTTGAATAATGCCTCCGTGAACTTTCATATAGAAGTTTTTATGCAGACATGTGCTTTTGCTTCTCTTGTCTACTCATACCTAGGATGGAATTTGTGGGTCACGTGATAACTCTGTGTTTAACTTTCTGGAAGGCCCCCAGACTCATTTGCCAAGGGGCTGTCCCAATTTTTGATTTCTACCATCAGCATAAGAGAATTCCAGTTTCTCCATTTTCTCATCAACATTTACTGTTGTCTAGCTTTATTTTTTTCCCTAGCCATAGCAGTGCGTGAGAGAGCATCTTATGGTGCCTACACTGTGCTTCACCTTGAGCAGTGAGGGTCTGACTGCTCAGCTGATGAGCACCAAAGCTGACTCTGACCCATGCTGACTGATGGTGACAATTCCTTCTGTCAGGTCCTCCACTTCAGGAATCCAGGTTCACCTTTTTCCTAGGAGCAGGGAATGAGATGGAAAATTCACAGCTTCTGCTTCCAGCTCCCTCACAAGCGACTCCAGAAAGATTGTTTAGAACCAGGTGACCATACCTTTTGCAGCTTATGGAACCTCTCTCCAAAATCTCATTCACCTGCTGGTGGATATCTAAAATCCCTGATTTCTATTTTTTTAAAAATATTTATTTTAATCTACTTGGAAGGCAAAGGAATAGAATGAGAGCAGCTCAAAGGGAGGGGAAAAGAAGGAGATGAGAAAAACTCAGAGAGAAAAGATGGAGAGGAAGAGGGGAGAAAAAGAGATTAGTCTTCTTTTTGCTAGCTCATTCTCCAAGCAGCCAGAACCGTGCCAGGCTGAAACCAGGAGCCAGAATTCCATCTGGGGCTCTCATATGGCTGGCAAGAGTCCAAGTACCTGAGACAGCATCCACTGCTTCCAAGGATGCATTAGTGGGAAACTGGATTGAAATACGAGTACCAAGAATCACACCTGCACTCCGGTGTGGGATATACGCATACTATTAGTGGCTGAACCCATCATACAACAACCACCCTGAAAGTCCCATTGTTGAAGTTTTGCTTCATAAATAGGACTAAAGACTAAGCACGCTGAATACCATTGGAGCTAACACTTGTTTGTGAATGACTTTGGTCCTTTTACTGAAAGAGATTTATATCAGATGTTTTTGGAATGGGCTGTTGTTGCTGTGGAAAGAGATAAAACTTGTTGGTAAAGAAGGCAGGAAGTGAAGTGGAAATCAGGTAAATGGTAACTGAACGAGCGTGTGCTGGACAATGGCCTGTCTGCAACTCCAGTCAGGAACGAACAAGAGAATGAACAGCTCAAAGAGAGCCCGGGACAGAGGAAATGACAGTCCTCTTGGGCCAGCTCCATGTTAGTGCAGGCAGCTAACGAATGCGCCAGAGGAGCTGAGTGTGTGGCTTTGAGGTTGGACATTCCGGAATTTGAGCCCCAGCTCTTTTACCTATTAAATGTCTTAATTTGGGGGTATTAGTGTTATGAAGAATGTCCACCTTAGCAGTAACTATGAACAGACTGATCCCAGGCAAATTCTTTCTTTTTTAAGGATTTATTTTATTTTTGTTGGAAAGTCAGATATACAGAGAGGAGGATAGACAGAGAGGAAGACCTTCCATTCCGATGATTCACTCCCCAAGCAGCTGCAATGGCCAGAACTGAGCTGATCCAAAGCCAGGAATCTGGTGCCACTTCCGGGTCTCCCATGTGAGTGCAGGGTCCCAAGGCTTTGGGTCGTCCTAGACTGTTTTCCCAGGCCACAAGCAGGAAGCTGGATGGGAAACGGGGCTGCAGGGATTAGAACCAGTGCCCATATGGGACCCCAGCATGTGCAAAGCAAGGACTTTAAGCACTAGGCTATTGTGCTGGGCCCTCAGGCAAATATTTTGTAGGGTATCCCAATCTATGAATGTAATTTGAGTCACCCCAATTCAGGAAGTCAATTGGCCTTTCATGTTCAGTGACACAGAAATATCCCTTTTATTTAGTTTTAATTATCATAGTAGTAGCTTATATTATTTTATAATAAATAATTTCCATTTTTTAAAAAAGATTTATTTCTTTTACTTTAAAGAGTTACAAAAGAGTTACAAAGAGACAAATGGGAAGACAGAAGTCTTCTGGGTCCATCCTCTTCTGGGTCTCCCCATGTGGGTGCAGGCTCTTAAGTACTTGGGCCATAGATTTCCCAGGCACATTAGCAGGAATCTGGATTGGAAGTGGAGCAGCCAGGACTCAAAGGGTCCCATGTGGGATGCCATGCCCCAACCAGAGGATTGGCATGATATGCTACCACATTGGCCCCTGCTTTCTAATTTTTTCCTTCTGCTACTCTGAGGAAGTAGAGGCCAATTCTGCGCTGCTGGGGCCCAGGACTATACAAGCAGCACAGGAGGCGGGATTCCCAGGACGCTGCTCTGTGTACTGGGAGTATTGTGTTTAGGACTGGTGCTTTGAGGAGGAAGAGCATGCTCTCACCGTCAGGTGTGCTCCTGTGCTTGGGAAGCCCCAGCACGTGCAGAAGCAGCTCCTGGAAGAGGCTTGGGAATATTTGACAAAAGCCTCCTAGAGTTGCCAGCAGAACCTTGAGGTGCTGCAGCTTCCTGTTGTTGTTGACTGGCGTTCAACCCCTGCTTGCAGGGCTCCGTGCTCTCCAACATGTCCTCACGTGTCTCTGCCTTTTGTCATGCTCAGAACAACCACTGGAAGTCAGGAGGGAAGGAGCTGTTTTCCCCATTTGAAAACAGGAAGGGAATTAGCAAGGAGCTGGGACATGTGGATAAAACAAATAATCAGTGAACATATCAAAGTTTCGGCAAGTGGATATGGCTCTGTCTGATGCAGACCCCATGTACACCTAGAACAACTGTCATGCCTTGGGGGACCACAGTGTCTTGAACACTGAGCCAAGAATTGTACAGCTTTTCCTTAATTCATCCCAACAACTCAGTAAAACAAGTACTTTCATTCTCATACAGATGACGAAACCAAGGTGGTTGTTAAAAGACATGCCCAAGGTAACACAGAGAGAAACGGAAGAGCTAAATTTGGAATCTAGTCTTCCTGACACTCGAGTTCACGGTGTTCCTCATGATGTTGTTCTGACTCAAATGTGAAGATCTCAAAAAATAAATTGTCATTTTCAGAAAAAAAAATTAGCAAAGGTTTCATTCCCTTCATTCATGCCGACAAGATCTCTGTAGGAGATTTTTTCTTACATCTATTGGAGGAAGCTAGTTTGTCTTTGAACCTTGTTTCTCGTTGTTCTGAGATTTGGGTCTAGCACAAATGAAAGAGCATATCTAGGGCAATTGCCTCGCCTCACAAACAAACAAACAAGAAGAGTCTAGCACTGTTAACAGCATCCTTAAGGAGATCTGGAAAGGGTCCAGTAACTGCCATGCCAGCTGAGACCCAATCCCAAAGCAGAAAGTTCTGGGCCAGAGACCAGGAACAACCAAGATAGACTTGGCAGCCGCTTCTCTGGAAAAGCAGCCCCCCATCCTGAAGATAGAAAGGTGATTCTTTTCTGATTCAGGCACCTGCTGAGGCCTCCTTATTGTGTGGAGCACACACCTAAGTATTTTCTTCACTTGGAATGGTCCCCCAAGACTCCAGTGTTTATAGACTTAATCATACAACTGCAAAAAACTTCTGTTGTTTCTCAAAGTGATGTGAACCTGTTTTCAAACCACAACAGGTAGTACCATGATTCTTAGCTTTACTCTTCACGTCCCCTACTCACATCGTTCACTGTCATTCATGTACAACCCC